TCATATAAGTCCCTGTGCATACAGCTTGTAGTCTCGGATGCGCCGATGCGACGCTGAACCCGACCGTAACATCCGAGAGTTCCCGTTCACCTCCGTCCACTCTGCACCATGCAGTGCGTCGACTTCAAACCCTCTGAAGAAGGCAACTGGACGATTTCATGTTGACATTGCCATGGAACAGTCTGTGCCCACTCTCCAGATACGTCTTCGCTTAACGCGTCTCAAGCTCCGATACCTGGCCCCTCGACGTCTCGCGCCGGCCGGACTGCAGCAGGTGCGTTATCGGCGCCTACTCTACACCCATGGTACTAACAAGGTGTTGTGCTAGGCTCAACTCAACTTACTCGTGGTACCCCGCGCGACACGGTTGCATCGATCATGAGCGAAGTTCGTGCCAGGGCCAAATCCGGTGACGTTCAAGGCGCAGTGGAAGGGCATTCCCTTGGTTCGGGCAAGGCCAAGCGCCCTCCAGATCCGCCTGGGCGTGACGCACCCAGCAAAGCTAAACGGCCACGCAATGCTTCGCCTGTGTCTCGTCAGACAGAAAAGCCGCCGCGTAAGCATCGCTCGGGAGGTGTAGATGGTCGCGTGGCAACTCAGTTCGGAGTGAGTGCTTTCTGTGGTGCTTTTCACTGTTAGTCACACTCTTTGTTCCCTCCACAGTCGTCCAGGCGCCCACAGGGTCGTCCCGCTGATGAACAGTATCGACATCATCCATATGACCTTCTTCTCACTAATACGAAAGATCAGGACGACTTTTTCTTCCCGGCCGCTACGTCTACGCCTTTCGGCCCTCAGGCTGAGCTTAACGTGTCTGGTGACGACAGGATGAGAGTAGAAGCATACAGATTTATAGTATTTAGTATTTAATAAATTTAATCATGAAGCAAGCTATGTCGAGCGTGCAACGCGCGGGGTGAAACATAATGAGTGCGTCGGCGAACACAAGTGTGAGTACGGACAGACAGGTAGTAGAGGAGCGTAAGGAGGGTCTGTGGAAGTAGTAAACACGGGTGAGGGCGTAGCGAGTGCATGTACGAGGATGGCGGCGTGAAGGTTGCATGGATTGTCGATGTTGTTTACGAGACGAAGAAGAGGATGTTTGAGAGGTATATTGCCACGACATTCGATGACTTGGAGATCCGGTACGATGACGCGGCGCGACGAGACCAGTTGTACATCTACGGCATGTGATAGCAAATGAGGGGGTCTAACGCTCCGCACTGGTAATCGCTAAGGCTACCGGCAGACTGACAGCCTGAGGGTACGCCAGGATACGCCACGATGCCCAATGCGTCGTAGCCAGCACCGTATTGACCACCAGCAGCGAAGACATGACCCGAGTAGCCTTAACATAGGCATCGACGCTGCGCGCAAAGTGCACTGCAAGCGTCATGCGCACAACCGGAGACCATGTGTCTGGAGGGCAGCCATGTTGACGAGGTTCTACGGAGCGGCCACAGGGTAGCCAGCGACGGAGTCGTAGTAACCCGTTCGCTCGCACTGGAGCTTGCTCTGGATGCACTTGCCGTATAGCGTGTTGCAGATGAGAGGGAGAACCGGGCAAATACCCTCTACGAGCAGCGTATGCCGACCAGGCGCGGCGTAGTCGAGAGCGGAGCTTCTGGCAGGGGTAGTTCCCGAAGGGGTCTGTAACAATAGATCAGCAAGTGCGGAGCAGGCGGCATAGTCAGCACGAGATACGCGTACCGGTAATCAGGTCCACGTAGTGGCGTCTCGCGGAAGATGATGTCGCGGTGCTCTACATAGACGCTTCCTGGAACTTATTCTGGCGGTAGCGGCAGCCGTGTCGGCACCAGCAGCCGACGTCGAACAACTGAACAGGTCGTGAGTTCACGTACCTGACCAGTTGAACGACTCGAGCAAAAGACAATTCACAGGCATTAATCGAGACCAAGATACCGACAACACACATCAACGATAGCAAACGAATATTTTATTGCCACACGCCCACTCGATCAGCGAACGCATGCAGCGCCGCTGTCGCGGCGGTATACTCGTCGTAAGACTTTTGAATCTTACTTCTAAGTATTCGAAGCTTCGCTATGCGCTCCGCCCTCCACAACCTGTCTACCCGCTGCTCCAACGCCCTCTCGGCGCAGTGCTCCAGTACGGCGCTCCTCGACGCCGCTCGATACGCAGCGTAGTGGACCTGCCACAGACGCTGGAACTCCGCAGTCTACAATCCGTCAGTTTCCGCCAGCGTGTCACGATAACGCAGGCACGTACGTCCGCGTCGCTCGTAAACGTCGGTCGAGGGCGAGGTGCCCGCCGGAACGCGATCCTGATGCTCGCCGGTCTTCTCGAGACCGCGAAGGCCTATGATATTCGTGAGTCGATGTCTTCATGGAGGCTCTGTGATTTACGCACCGGGGCACAGGGCACGACTCCCCGCAAGGACCACGGTCGCGCCAACCCTGCGACTGGGCGCGATCGCCACGCGGGGCCGTCGACCGTTTGCGCCATCCCGTCCTGGC